TCAAAAGATATATGGGTTATATAATCAGAGTTTGTTGCAAAGACTCAATTTCTTTCCAGCCCTATATGTTTACATTATAAAAGTACGTGCACGTTGTGTAAATTATACAGCTTAAGTGTAAAGTGTAAATAAGTTTTGACGGTGTACAGTGCTGTGCACGTCATAATCTGAGTTTGCTAATGAATAGCTTGTACTACTTCACTACAACTATTATTAGTTAATGTTAAGAACATGATTTCGAGCAATCGTTTTCTCTCCCCCCCCCTTCCTTCTTCCTAAGCGCACTGTGCACACTCACCCGCCGTTAGCACCCTAAGGCTCATCACGATGCGCGCAGGAAGCAATCTGACCCGTAGGTCAAGCGCTGCACGCTTTGGATCCTAAAAAGGGGCGCTCTAACATAAATCTGATGTTTTACTGAAGTTGATCAATATTTTTCGTTCACATATCATTGAAATTTTTTTTAAAGATTTTCATGCTTTTTGATAGAAAAATGTTTTATAACGATAGGTTGCTGATTTAGATCATGTTTGCCCAGTAACTTCTGTAATAATCCACAGTTTTAGGTAAAAAATGAGTTTTCAATTTAAAAAATTTTTTCAGTTTTCACTCCTGCCCCAGTATTAACCCAGAGTACGTCTAATGACACATAATTTGGCAATTTTCTCGTGAATCTGTATTTTGTATGAGGTGGGGGGGGGGGAGGGCGGTAGCGTTTATACACTACAGTAATCTACTAGGGTAATAGCAGCAATAAAAGTAACAGGAAGTCGTAAGTATTTAACAGACGCGAGAAGAATTGGCCAGATTTCTCCAATTTTTCATGTAAAACAAAAAAATGTTTTAAGATTCTTTTTTCAATTCAATTTCCTTCTTAAAATTTACAGCTTTGGACGAAAGAAATATTTTTACATCTTCTCAACGTCTTAGGCATGAATGACCAATAATGAGAAAAGGTCGTCTGACAGAGGAAAATTGAGGGTTTAAATTTTAGCCTTATGTTCTTAAAATCCCCCTCAAACCAACCCGACCCATTTAACTAGGCTTTTAAACCGATTCTAAACATTAACATACACGACTTACTGGTCTACTGGTCTGCTTGTCTACTGGTCTACTGGTCTACTGGTCTACTGGTCTACTGGTCTGCTGGTCTACTAGTCTACTGGTCCACTAGTATACTGGTCTACTGGTCTACTGGTCTGCTTGTCTACTGGTCTACTGGTCTACTGGTCTACTGGTCTACTGGTCTACTGATCTACTGGTCTACTGGTCTACTGGTCTACTGGTCTACTGGTCTACTGGTCTACTGGTCTACTAGTCTACTGGTCTACTGGTCTACTGGTCTACTGGTTTACTGGTTTACTGGTCTACTGGTCTAATATTCAACTTTCAAAGTAGGCTTGTTTAGTAAAGAAAAATAGGGAAAGCCATTATGTTTTGATTTTTAGTAAAACTAGAATCTTACAAAAAAAGAAAATAATATATCAGATTAATGTGTATCATTAAAGTTTATTTTTGCGACCAAACGGTGGGGGAAAAAATCTTGATTGTAAAACAACGAAGGCAACTAACTCTATGACCAGCACTATTTACATTTTCAATCCCCCCCGGCCCCCTCTGTTGAAATTTAATTATTGAACAATGAACATTATTTAAGTTCACCCTGTAGGAAAATAAAAAGAAGGAAGCAGAAGAAAGTAAGAATAAATCAAATCCCTAAAGTTTGAAATTGCTTTCATAAAGCCGAAACCCCGCTTAACTTCCTACCCCCCTCCCTGCACCCCCCTGAATCCTCCTTCCCATCCTTCTCCTCCCTCCCCTCCCTCTGGTCCAAGTGGGCGTGACCCGGGGGCAAGGATGGACAGACAAACATATTTTCTGAATGACAACATACAATCTATTTTAAATTATTTAGTAATTAAGCCTGGATGAATCCCGGAAAGGCCCGGGGCTGTGTGGCTCGGCTTTAGATAAGGATGGACATATATATATACAGGGGGGCCAAAGATCCACGAAATAAAAATTAAGTTAGAAGCAGATCTTAATTTTTTTATTCAGAAACACAGAAATACAGTTGTATAAAGTTTGTATTGTTTCATTCAGTTTCTGGTATACCTTTTCCAATTCTAGTTTACAGTTTCTGATAGTTCCATAAAGTTTTCTGGTGTTTGTATTCAGTTTCTGTTGTATCATTCAGTTTCTGGTATACATTTTCCAATTGTTTACAGTTTTTAAAAGTTGTATATAGTTTTTCTGGTGTTTGTATTCGGTTTCTGGTGTTTGTAATCAGTTTCTGGTATACAATTTACAATCCTTTTTTATAGTTTCTGATAGTTTTATAAAGTTTCTCTGGTATATGTATTCAATTTCTGTTGTTTTCATTAAGTTTCTGGTATACATTTTCCAATCCTTGTTTATAGATCCTGATATTTGTATAAAGTTTCTGGTATATGTATTCAATTTCTGTTGTTTTCATTCAGTTTCTAGTATACATTTTCGAATTCTTGTGTATAGGTTCTGATGGTTGCATACAGTTTCTTTGTTAATACACAGTTTCTTGTGATTGCAGACCGTTTCTGATGTTTGTATAATGTATATAGACTCTGGTGTCTGTATTTAGTTTCTGGTGTTTTATACAGTTGCTGGTAATGTATACGTTTTCTGGTATTGATATGCAGATTCTGATATTACCATGGCACCCGTTTTTATTTTCCAATTTGTTTGTTTGTGAATAACATATTTTTAATTCTAATGGTGTATATTATAGTGTTGAATAGCATTGTGAAATATTTTGGTTTGATAAAAACCTTCTTGGCCATGTTGTATCATTATAGCCTTATAAAGGGTTTAGGTGTATCATTATAGAAACCCTGTATATACAAACATACATATATACATATATATAGTTTCACAGTAAACACTAATATATCAAATATATTTGCACACTTCATCTAGTTGAAAGAACTAGAAACTATGAAGTAAAAACTAAATATATTATTTATACATTAGTTGAACGTATGTTTTTACAAGCCTATATATTGATGGATCTTTTTAAAATTTTCTTGCTTTAAGAAAAAGTTATTAATAGTTGTTTGGATTTATTAACTTTATAAAAGCAGTTATATGCAATCATTAGTTTCAGGCAGTATGACTCAAGCTTTGGAAGAATACTCTATAAGTAAATACAACAAAAGAAGTGGGGGGGGGGGGGTTGAGGGTATACATATCCCCCCCGCACCTCCACCCTAAATCCGGAAAGGATCAAAAATGTAGAGTATATCTCAAAATTTATATCTATCCAGCTATATGTATATATATCTACAGCTATATTACTATATTTGTAATATTTTATGTAAACTATATAAACATAACATATTTATATTTATCTAGCTATTATTTCCACATTCAAATATAATTTATATTTTATAATTTTGGTATTCTTGTAGTAAACACCTACTCCATAAATAGTTCTCGAAACGTATCTATCCAGGTACAATCCGTCCGCTATCAGGGTCAACCAGGACTCACCCCACCTGACTCTAAATGCCACACAGGGACAGAAGCGTAGCTTTCCAACAAGCTATTAGTTCGGTGCTCTAAATGCCATACAGGGACAGAAGCCTAGCTATCCAACCAACTATGTTTCGATCCCAAATTATTTTGACGATCCAACGCTCTAAATGCCACACAAGGACACAAACCTAGCTATACAACAAGCTATATATCAATCCCAAACTAAAGGGGACTATCCACCTATATACAAGCTTCAGGGTTTCAGGTTTACTCACATGCAGTTAATCTATAAACAAAGCTTTATTTGATATCTCATGTCATAAGTTAACATGAATTGACGTAGTTATAATTTCTACGATGTTATCACGTGAATAAGACAATCGTATTATCTATTTGTCCCACAGTTAAAGTTTATTGTATGTATTTATAAGATTAGAGAGAATAGATATAACACAGTTAAGCTATCTCCACCCATGTTTATAACGTAATTTAAGTATGATTTTAGCTAATTATGCTAAGTATTCAATTGAAACGCAGTTTCAATGAATAATGTCATTATTTCTAAGTTTACAACATTAAATCATTATAATCTACAACGTACTGCAGGCTTACAGAATATCATGTTTCCACGATTTTTGCTACATTCTTTCATATATAACTATATTTATATATATATCTAGCTATATAACTATATTTATATCTCTCTATCCATATAAATATAATCATATATATCTAGCTATATAACTATATTAATATATATCTAGCTATATAACTATATTCATATATATCTAGCTATATAACTATATTCATATATATCTAGCTATATAGCTATAAATTCATATCTATCTAGCGATACAACTATATATTTATATCTATTTAGCCATATAACTATATTCGTATATATCTAGCTATATAACTATATTAATATATTTCTAGCTATATAACTATCTTTATATCTATCTAGCCATAAAAATATATTCATATATATCTAGCTATATAACTATATATATCATTTTGGATCTAGCTGATTTACCAATCTCTATATCTATCTAACTGAATTATCTATCTATATATCTATCTAGTATTGGTCTACCCGTCTATCCAAGCAGGAGTCAGGAATAAAGAATGGGAATTTAATGATAGACTTGAGTGATACATGGTATACAGGGATACACAATACAGGGGGTATACAGGGGTATACAGGGGTATACAGGGGTATACAGGGGGTATACAGGGGTATACAGGGGTATGCAGGGGGTATACAGGGATATACAGGGGTGTACAAGGATATACAGGGGTATACAGGGGATATACAGGGGTGTACAGGGGTATACAAGGGTACACAATATGGGGGGTATACAGGGATATACAGGGGTATACAGGGGTTATACAGAGGTATACAGGGATATATATGGTATACAGGGATACACAATATAGGGGGTATACAGGGGGATACAGCGGTACAATTAAATTACAATAAATTTACAATAAAAATTTTTTATTGAACATGAAAACAAAAGTGTACAGCACATTGCACACTAACAATATACTTTATTTTAAATTATAAATGAGCTGGCTCTGCTAGATCTTTGTAAGATATCCCACTAGGATTGTAGTGTGTAAACATCCATTGCTGAAAAAAAATTAAATGACAATTTTCGGGTTAAGAAAGTTTTAGAAAGATATTTGCAATCATTCAGAAGAAAAAAGTTTCATAAAAAATCAAACTTAATTAAGTATATAAGACGTTTTTTAAAAATATGTAAAATAAAAACATTAGTTTTGCTATATTATCCACCTACACCATATTGCAGTCCTTCAATTATCATACAGGGAAATCCCATCTTTCTAAATATCCCAGGGAAAGTTCTGACACCTTCTTTATGCTTTTTTATTATTCAAAAACATTCTTAAAAATATTGGATTTCAACATCAATTAACATTAATTATTCTTACAATTAAAAAACTTAATACCTGGTTTTCGTCGGAGTCGTTACAGTTAGACATAATAAGCCCCTCATTCATCTAAATTTTCAATAGTTTTTAAGTAAAATTAAATTTTTTTAATTCGAATTTTTTAAACCTATAACAACCCCAGGCCACCCCTGAGGGTCCACACAAAATTTCAGCCCAATCGGTTCTGCCGTTTGACCGGCTATAGACAACAAATATATATACGAATGTCTTGTTTTATTATATAGATAAAAAACATAAAAAATTAAGTGTTTCAGGAGAAAAGGAAAGCTACATATTTATTGTTTACATTATATTTAATATAAACTGGTGGAAGATTATTAGAATTTTTCGACGTTGAACACTAACAACTTTTAGAAATAAAAATGATAAGTTTATTTGTAAGGTTAAAAAAGCTTTATGGGTTGTGAAAAAGATATAGGTTCTACGTAAATCGGGCATTTTTAAGCATCTTTTTAATTTGTACCGATTTTTGACATCCTTTATGTTTGATTACATCTTTTACTCTTTATAATCTTTTTTGTCTTTTCTTTGTAAAATCGTCTTTGCTTTCTTCGATTCTTTTGCAAACAAAGCACTTTAAAACTCGTTGTAGCATCATTTTTAGAACTTTGGATTGACTCTAAAAATGTAGCTATAAAGATCTGAAAATCCAACATATCACTTAATTTCAATTTTTTACTTCTATATGATAACTTTAAATGGGATGCGGAACTTTTCCAAATCCTTGAATGAGAAAAATTATCAATCTTTAATCGATCTTCGTATGTAAAGTCACGCCTCAATTCACTGTGTACCATTTCTTAGTAATTTTTATATGTTGTAAATTGTTCCATGTACGGCCAAAAAACTTGTAATTTTAGGGGGAGGGAATTTTCTTATTTCCGTATAGTTTTATTGATTTTTATTTTGCGATTTCAAAATTTTCGAATTCAATATTTCAAGACGGAATTTGTACACCTGTTATTATATATTTTTAAGAACATTTTTGTTGCTTGAATAAATGTTACAAAAGCGTAACGAAAAAAAAGTAAGAAAAAAATCTATAATTTTAAAACTTTTATATAACTGAAACCCTTATATACAATCTCTCTTTTACCTGTCCTACCCCTTTTAGCTTATCCTGAAAAGTCTTACCTAACTCTTTTAAACATGAATGTTAAGCCTTCCATAGCCGCTTAGTCATACGTTGAAGTTTTACTATTAAAAATACTGGCATTGAGAAATTGGCCATATTCAGATTAATGCTTTACACGTCTGTACTTGGACTTTCTGACTTTTTATCTTATCTTTACCTGGTTTAGTGTAATACATTTTCCTTGTTATTTACCTGGGTTAGTGTTATACATTTCCCTTGTTATTAACCTGGGTTAGTGTTATACATTTCCCTTGTTATCTACCTGGGTTAGTGTTATACATTTCCCTTGTTATTTACCTGGGTTAGTGTTATACATTTCCCTTGTTATTTACCTGGGTTATTGTAATACATTTCCCTTGTTATTTACCTGGGTTAGTGTTATACATTTCCCTTGTTATTTACCTGAGTTAGTGTTATACATTTCCCTTGTTATTTACCTGGGTTAGTGTAATACATTTCCCTTGTTATTTACCTGGGTTAGTGTTATACATTTCCCTTGTTATTTACCTGGGTTAGTGTTATACATTTCCCTTGTTATTTACCTGGGTTNGGAGGGGGTTAACATATTAAACTTAACAAACGTTGTTATGCTATTTCTTTTTGAATTGATTAATTTTCCTTGTTTCTGAATCATAAGTCCATTTGTCAAAACATCTATTCAGAACTATGTCGTCGTCCTGAAGACCATGTATTTAATTCAAGATCACAGTTTTTTTAAGAAACTCAAAAAAAATGTCTGTAATTCACTAAATAAATTGCACGTTAAATTAAAATGTTATATGTTTTCAAACATAACTCCTGTTATTGAAGAGCTATTGAGAAGAATAAAAATGTTTTGAATTTATAATATGAAACCGGACAAGTTTTTTTTCAAATAATTGTTCGTATAATATAAACTAGAGGAGCTACGAGGTCACAAAGTCGTACCAGTTTGAACTACTCATTCTATAGTTTGCAGATTGCCTCTCTATATAGATTCATTAAATACATGAGAAGCTGGTAAATACTGGGCCTGCGTAGCCTGGGTCTGCTGAATCTGACAACTTTGTTTACAATTTTTTTAAGGAAATAGTTTTACTTCAGTGTGAAGGTAAAAGATGATCACTTTTTAATAACTCGATGAATCATAGATTTTCGGATCGTAAGGTTTCCATGCATATTTTCTTTTTTCATTTATGTTCTTTGGCCGAGGCTGATGAATTTTTATAGATATTTCTACATTACATACAATGAAACCTATTAAACTGGGGGAATGGAAGACTACAATTAATCAATCTTTCATATATCTGATGTTGTTCTAAAAAAAATGTTTAACCAGTGCAAGGTTATAATGCAAGGAAAGTTAATTGCAGTTGCGCATTCTCTGCGTACATATTGAAACCAGTTCTCTCTGGACGGAATTTGTAAACAAGAATAGATGCATCAGTGTTCGTTTAGTATTCAATGAGGTTAAAAGCTTTGAATTTTGATAATTTTGATAATTCACATAATAGTTTCCTATGACCAGAATATTTCATTGATTTTTTATGTGAAAGATGGATCCCATGTCAGGCTTCGACATCCGTCTTGTGTTGACATTACCGCCCAGAGACAGTACACTGCAGTACAAAAGATGCGTACCCCTCTGATATAACTTTCCTTGCATTATAACCTTGAACCAGTGTAGGTAGTAACTTAAAAATCAGCTTGTTAATTAAAATGAGTTATGACTGCAAGGATAGAACGTATATAAAAAAGTGTTAGAAATATACAATGAAATTTTAATTTTAATGCCTCCAAATTCTTATTTTATAAACAATCGCAAATGATAAGTTTTCTTCATTAAACAGGCACTTTTTAAATATTGAGAAGATTATAATTCTGTGGTTGACCTTAAATCCTATGCAGTTATTATCTCGTAATATTCTTCCTTCGATACTGAGCATCCAGTATTGATCTTTACCCTGATAAATAAACAAACATAAAACTCTAAGCATCCGATTCTTAAGTGTTTTAATATTTTTATAATAATATATTCTTAGCATAGTGAGAGGAATACTTTTGTTATTTGTAACATATTACAACGTAATTTTAGAGATTTTCAATGAAAATAAAAAATAAAATTAATTATTTAATTTTTTGTTCTTCGAGAAAAAGTCTATTTTGATAAAAACCTGTAAATTGCAAGGCTTGGTATTAATTTGTTTTCCAATGTTTTCGTCTTTATCATCTAAAATTAAAACATAATTTAGGAACAAGATCTTAAACTTTAATTTGTAATATAATCTTATATTAGGATAATTTGTTTCGATAGAAAATGTTATTATTATATTTATAATTGATCTTTAATTTTTCATCAACAATCTGATCTAAGATCAATACAATTTTAAAAATATATTATTATTCCTTAAAACCTCAATTATTACTATGGGGGGGGGGGGGATCTGGGGGATAAATACCTGAATACGCCCCTGAAAATCCGCAATCTGGGGGATAAATACCTGAATACGCCCCTGAAAATCCGCAATCTGGGGGATATTCGAGGAGAGAACAAGAAACCATGTTAGACTTACCCAAGGAGAATTGAATAGAAGGAGGGGGCAATAGGGTTTCCGTACACTTTGCCGTGACGTTTTTGGACTGCTGAAGAACTAGTTTTTGCGTAACAACAATAATAAAGGAAGCCGATCTAATGTAAACAAATATGAGTTAGTATACGGTAAATCTTCATCTAACGCCAGAGATGCACCAAATGTCTGTTTATCATTTGTGTTATTGTTTACAATCTTTATAATTGTTGTTACGCAAAAACTAGTTCTCCAGCAGCCCAAAAACGTCACAGCAAAGTGTACGGAAACCCTATTGCCCCCTCCTTGTATTCAATATCTCCTTGGACTTACCTCAAAGCCTTCCTTGCTGAAACGTCTCCGAAATTCCCCAATCGTAGATTTAAAGGTAAATCCCAATTTCCCAATCTAAATTAATTCGTTTGGAATTTTTCTACTTATATCTTTGCATTTTAATTCATTTAGACCTTCAATATTTCAAAATGTAAAAATGTCAAAAAAAAGTCAAAAAAGTTTATCAAAAACGTGGTATTTTCAAACCTGTCAAAATATAAATATTTATATTGGTCCATCCATACTTCAGCAACACGAATAGGATTCCATACCAGCACGTTGATATCAGATCTACAATATTAAACTTACAAAAAGGAGAAGATGAATAATTAAGACAGTAGTTGAACTAGGTTTGCCTAGTATAGGAGGAGGAATCACTTTTTCGAACGCATTGGCGATTAAGCACTACCTCCAAGGACAGTGACTGTAGTGTATGCCCTAAATATATATATTTACATACATATATTTGAAAAATTTGACTTCCAAGGATAAGGACTGTATTCTCTGTATATATATATATATTATATATCTTCTTAAAAAAAGAACATTTTCTATTGTTTTTTAAGATTGGTTATTGCTGGACACTGTGTAATCTATATATAAATTTGGCTTGTCTGTCTGTCTGTCTGTTTGTATCCAATAAACAGTAAACAAAAAGAACATGTTCACAATTTAAATAGAAGATGGGCGCGAAGCGCCCTAAAAGCCTAGAAAGAAGGGCGCGAAGCGCCTTGAATTTCTAGTCTATATAAACTTTGCATGTCTGTTTGTTTGTATCCAATAAACGTCAAAACGGCTGAATCGATCGAACCCAAATTTTTTGTGGCACCTCGTGTAATCCCAGGGAAGGCTATGAATGATCAAAATTTAAAAATTTGTGTTTAAACTTTTTTTGTTAAACTTTTTTTCAATTTTGAAAATCCGCGAATTTTGATTATGAAATCCGAAAACTTTTTTTAAAATGTACACAAAGAGAAAATGTTTACAATCGAAGTAGAAGATAAACGCGGAGCGCCCTAAAAGCCTAGTATATATACTCTACATACTCTATATATGCCCAACCCTACCTCCATGGATAAGGACTGTATGTTCTGTAAACATGCCCAACCCTGGAGCAAGGAACAATCTCTATCCGTCCTCCACACATCCACTGCCTCTACCATGAATACATTTCAATTCACAAGGACTTCAGAGCCCGCGATTTAAAAACTTCGGCTCGAGCCGTAATTCCTTAAACCCGACTTTAAGACCCAATCTTCGACCCAACTATGACGACAGCTTGTGTCACGTGATTGACAGCTGCGAGATCTTAGGCTCGACTTAAGGAGTTAAGCCCAATGAAAATAAAACCGACCTTGGTTGGTTTTAGTGGAGAATAAGGCTCAATGTTGGGTCTTATTCTCATCAAAACTCGGAATGCGCCAATTCCAACTATGAAAATCCGCCAAATATAACATTAAACCGGTTTTATGAACTAAATTCTGTTGAAAAATAGATGCAACTAAAATTCGAAAGCCCGAGCCGTAAATAAGGCTCAACAACAGCTTAGACCCGAGTCGTATTTTCTTGAATTTTTTAAATCGCCGGCTCTGGTTGGTCCTTAGCTCAGATTTTATGAATACTGAGCTAAGCAGAAGTTATTCAAACCATAAGTCAAACCTCCCAATTCAATAAATCCGATCTCTGAGGTCAGAATTGATAAATAGCAATTAGTAGTTGAACTGGGTACAGTTAGTTGAAATAATTATCCATTGTGACAACGAGTAGTGATTTAACTATACTTTACCTAATTCAGCTATTTTCTCCCAATTCATTAAATCTGATTTCAAATAATTGGAGGATTATAATTATTATATTATTTTATTGATAATATTTTCAAATTGCCTGTTTGTTTTGAATTGTCAATTGTCAAAAATTGTCTTTTTTATGCTTTTTTGTTGTGAATCAGACATGCAGTTCTTTTTTTCCATGGATCGAGGGTCACTTTCAATACCGTCTTCAACCCTTTTAATTGTACTGTAATGTAAGCGTAGTGAACATTTAATGCAAAATATCCTTGAAACCTTTAACTGATCACAAATGTGAAAGATTATGTCGATTTTCTGATTCCAGAAGGGTTGGTTTTCTGTAAATATCTCTAGTCTTTGTTTTAAGCAAGAAATACGCAAGTCACAGAGAAACAACAAATCAAAATAAACAGTTTAAAAAACATTCATTTCTAGTTTATTAAGGTCTATTAAAATGGTGAAAGTAAGTGTGGGGGTTGGGGGGAGCCAGCCCTAGAAAATCACAATATTTTTAAAATTTCTTTTATCTGATTAGAAATGCTATTTCCTAAAAGATAATTCAAGATTTTCTCCGCCCCATATCTCCATTCCTTCATCGTACAGACCGATCCTCTGAAACCAGTTCTTGTTGATTGTAAACAAACCTCCAGCCATTACTGGTGTACTGTACGGGGACCAGGGATGGGTCCTGGAACCACTGCAATAAAAATTGTCAAAAATGCTACTTTTAGAATTTAAAAGAATTTTGGAAATCTACTCACTTGATTTTTTCACTGATATGAGCCCAATCAAACTCCATTTTCCAATTGAAAACTCCCGTTAGATCATGGTGGACAAACTTAACAGAAATCATTTCATTTCTCTTGTTTTTCTTTAATTGGATCTAATCACATCCTACAAATTTAAACTCAGTGTTTGAAAATTTCAGGGTTTGGAAAACATACAAATAATATTTTTTTTTTTTTAAAAAGACCAAAGGTCGGAATATTTGTGTTAACTATATGACTATCAATAATCTGAAATGCTTGATCTCGTCATCAAATGTGAGCCCACACTGAGCACTACGAGAGCCGGTAATTCACCTTATATTGAAATGTTTTTTCATCAATTGCTTCAATCACAGGGGATGCAACTGTTTTTGGATCCTTAAAATATAAAGAAAAAATATTTTCTGTATTTTCACAGATATACTGTAATTATATAATATGATTGATTATTGTACTCAAGGGCAGCCGTAGTACATTTAAATTTCCGACCCGGGTCAAATTTTCCGGTCCCAGTTTGTACTGTATCGCCCGGTCATTGGGAAAAAGAAGCAGACATCCAATAGGACTAGCCGGCCGGTGCAACAAGGTTGACGCGGTCAGACTTTAGGTTGAATTTACTTTTACTGAAGGATCAGAGGTGCGTGTACTGTGTACGAAACGAATATCAAATGAAACAGAGATATCAAGAATAAAACGTTAAAAATTGCTTCCTCACTCATTCTTTAAGGTAGAAATGCCACAAATGATTTTCTAATGTGAAACTAATTAATTGGTTTAAGCTTTGTGTTTGAGAAGAAGGGAGATTTAGTGTTTCATCTCTTCCCCTAAAGTAGGATAAACATGTACATACACCGAGCCAAGGTTATAATGCAAGGAAAGTTATTTCAGAGGTGTACGCATCTTTTGTACTGCAGTGTACTTTGGGCGGTAATGTAAACACAAGACAGATGTCACAGCCCGACATGGGATCCACCTTTCACATAAAAAATCAATGAACTATTCTGGTCATAGGAAACTATTATGTGAATTTCAAAATTTTCAAAATTCAATGCTTTTATCCTCCTCGGATACTAAACGAACACTGATACATTCTATTCTTGTTTACAAATTCCGCCCGGAGAGAACTGGTTTCAATATGAACGCAGAGTATACGCAACTGCAATTAAATTTCCTTGCATTATAACCTTGCGCCGAGCCGCCACGCGATTACAGAACAAAGTTACTTTAAAAATATTTTAAAAATTTTTTATCTAGAAAAAATGTGATGTACCGAAAAATCACAGCTTTTTTGTGATTATGCTTAAAGTTAAAAATGTATATCAAAGAAAAAATCATTTTGAATTAATCTTTGATTATTTGCTTCAAAAAGGTTTGTCAAACCACACCAATAACATATATGTTTCATCTTTGTGTATGAATAAATTTTTAAAATATAATGATATCATTTACAATATTTCTGTTCTTTACCTTGTCAACCTGTAGAAGAAGAGGTTCCAGCCAGCCTTCAGTTGCCTAATAGAACCAAAACTTAGAAAAAGTATTGAATAAAATGGCCAAATTAAATTTATAGATAATTAAAAATCGTATAAAAAACAAAGATACTACAAAAATAATTCTAATTTACCAAGAAACAATCGAATTTTATATTTTTTCTTTTTTCTTAACATCTCATGAATTATTTGGCAAAATATAGAATTAGTTTGTGGGAATCACAAGACAACTCGATACAGAATATTTTTATTTATCTTTAATTTTTTTCTTCATATTTATTGGTAATCTCCCTCGATGTGTGAATCCAGAAAAGTAAGAACATCTGCTGTAGATGCTCTAAAATATTTAAAATAAAATATTACACCAGCTAAATTATTGTAGTCCTGCTAATTGTTATGACTTTACGGCGAGACTCATAATTGTTGAATAGAAAAACAAATGTTGGATTCAAGTTTTAATCTTAGAACAGTCCCATAAACTCAGCAGTGTGGACTGTGGATCGATTTGACCAATATTGATTAATAAGTTGATATGTTAAACCCCTGGTAAAAGCATTTGCTTTAAACAACACATAATACGTACAATACAATTCCGTAAATATTGTTTCCAGTCTGTTGTGGGTCTTACACTATGATTCAAAGAGACGCAAAAATGTAATGGTAACCAACCTTAAATATTTTTGATACATTTTTGTAAAAGTTAACTCATAATTATCACTTTAATTTTACGGGGAACATCTCTATAATTTAGATTTGACGTTTTATTATTATATATTGTTAAATATTTTATAGTTAAATATTCTATTATTAGATATATTATAGTTAAATATTGAAAATATCTCGATCTATTCAAAATTGTTAAAGGGTTAATTAGATGATTTGTAAAAATGACCTTACTCCAGCCAACCTTGATCTCATTAGTCCTTGTCTCTCACTGAAAAATTTAAAAGTTTTGATTTTTTTAAAATTAAACTGATCAAGTTAGAGGATTATTTCAAGTAAAAACAAAAAAAATATTAAAGGGAGTGACCGGCAATGTATGGTAGTTAAACTGTGAATGCAATATTGTTTTAGGATTCATTTGAGAAATTGAGACTTGTCAGCAAGAGTGCAAATTCAATTTTTAAAATCCTCCATCATTTTCTATTCTCGAGAAATGATTTTGAGAATCGGTTTTTTGAAAATTATTAAATAACAACGACGAAATATGTAACAAAAATTCAAGAGTAAACTAACCTAATATTTGGGAACATATTTCTCAATAGAAATTTGTCAATAAATCAATGTTATAATCAATTATATCCTTTTCATCATAATATTGAATTTCTTATTATTTACAAATTTGTTCACAGATTTCCTCAAATTCTTCAAATGTCGTCTTTTCAATAAAAATTGCAGAAAATCTACAGAAAATGTTTGTGAACAATGAGTCATTACAGAAACTAATAACTGAAAATTAGTTATTTTCTATGATACGAGTTAATTTTTATTTTCTCAATTTGTTCCTAACAAACTTATTATTTTAATGTCAAATTTTTGGTACATTTTTCGTGAAATCAAAAAATGAATGTGATCGACCAATAAAATCAATTTTTTCGAATTTAATCTTTCAAAAATACATCATTAAAATGTTATAGGAACGTGAGGGGTGAGAAATCTATGTTTAGAAGTATTAAAAAACCTTAGCCTAACAATCTTTATCTTAGGAATATCCTTAATGAACTCATCAAGCTTAGTTCCTAAAAATAAAGATTTTTAAAAATTTTGTGCTGAAGATTTTGACTGTTGACTGTAAATAAATAAGAAATAGAATATATAAATCTCCCCACTCTTCACACAAAGCTGAATATATCTGTATATGTCTAACTAAAACCCTCCTGTAAGGGACTGTTTTTCAATGGACTCTCAATTTTTAGAGTGGCATTCGCATTCGATTCGCAACGGCACCCTAAAAAGCTTAGTCTGACAGAATTATAGGGAAAGCATACTGGGTACCGTTGTAAATCGGACATGCCCCTCTTTCTTTTTTTTTAATGTCACTGGAATTTACAATGACAGACCCCTTAAATCATTAATAAGATAAAAAAAGAGATCAAAACGTTTGTCGATCAAATTTTGAGGGAAAAATCCAAGGATCGGATCAAAACATCTTTTGCATCTGTATAATTCATTTTCATGGTAATCATTAAACATGTATCCAATTGATTGTCGTCTTTGCTCTTATTAAAAAATCTCTTCGAAGTTTTTTTTGCAAAGGTCCTCTCTCTGACACTACGTTTCTTGGTAGATATAATTAAAACGATAATTCATCTTTTAAAATACAAATTCGGGTTGCAAAGATATAGGGATTAAAAAATCAGAGCTTGTGTTAAGAACTCAGTTCCTTTGTAACGAATAAAAACCCCTTCGCGGCATTTCTTATTAAAAAAGCGAAGACGGTAAGCATTCCACTTTTTTTTGGCAATCTCAGATCTGTGTTCTGAAATGTTTACCTAAATGTTCCAGGGTAGAGGCATCATCTACTAATATTATTTCATCAATAAGATGTTCAGGAGATCTGTTTAAAACTGAGAATATGGATCTGAAATTTAACAAGTTAAAGGGAGTGACAGGATGGTATAGTTGTCGAACTAAGAGTGCAGTATTATAAAATGAAATGTAAAATATATAATTGCGCCTCCGGTTTTGTAAAGCAATTATAGAACGTTTTTATACACTCTAAGAAATTTCAAATTTTCATCTTACAAAATTTGCTGGAGCACCATTTGAAGAATCAAGCTACTATGTTGACTTTGGCTCCGGTGCTACAGCACTGCACTTGCACTTTCAGTTCAACTGCCATACAAAGTCAGTCACTTTCTTAAATTAACGGAGCGAATGAAACATAAATTATAAATAAACTGGATTAGGGGTAACTATACAGAAGAGATGTCAACGTTTAGATTTTTCTAGATTTTAGCTTTCGTTACGATAGTGTTCATCAAAAGTATAAACGTTTGAAACGTTACGTTGCACATAATGAAATTTTATGGCATAGAGTAACGTTACGTAATGAATTTTCTGCCCTTGAATATCTTATACAACATTAAGCTTTGTAAATGTTAGAGAAAAAAGTAACCTCCGTTACGCTTTTGCATTTCCCGTTTTAAAAAACTTTCCCAACGTTGCGTTAAAGCTTTAGTAATATAACCACAATTTTTTAACGTTCCACTTTCATGCAAGGTAAATGTTTTAAGAGACCTTACGTTACACTTCCATTTTGTTTGAAAACAAAAAGGTGACAAACGTTTTGCTTTAATAAAACGTCTTTTAGGCATAGTTCTGCACGTTGCAATGCATTTCAGTGCAAAGAATATTTTTTGTTAACGTTACGTTTTATCTTAACTTTTTCAATATAAACTCTATTAATTACGTTCAGAAATTTTACTAAAATACAACTTTTCTTACGTTACGATTTATCGAAACGTTATTGTGAAAACTTTTGTGTTACACTTTTTTACAACTGACAATCAAAACTCTTTATTTTTTTCGTTTCTAAGAAAGATTTGAAAAAAATGTTCTATACGTTGCGTTGTATTAAAATGTTCAAGCCTTAACGTTTCTTACATTACGCTTCATTAAAAATAATATTGTTTCTAAATGAAAGCAGGTACATGATTTTTTCCGTGATAATTACATTCCTACTTTAGTATTTTTCATCCTAAGACATGCCATGCAAAAAAAAATTGTATTGGTAATCCCTTTTTTTACTCACCCTGTATTATGTATGTTGCTGTTGTATTGTTTACCTTTTTAGAGAATGTGTAGATTGTAGAAGAATATGCAATATAAAGATGTTATAATATTATTATTTTTAACGGTTTTTAAAATTTGAGAATGAAAGTTTTTAGCAATAGACTTTCAACTCAAGGGTGTGTCGTAAAGGGACTAGAGACGTAATTTCAAGTGAACTTCCATTTATGGAGTGGCATGTCCAGCATACATTTACAAGATAGGAAAACGCTGGTATTTTCAAATCATCAATCAGATAAAGGTATACACTTTTCCATTGGGAATCGAGCATGGCCCTCTTTAAATAGAGGATCACTTGAAATTATCATCGTGTATTTGACGAGCTTAAAAAATAGACATGTTTTGGGACACTTCATAAAATGAATTGAAATTCGGCAAGGCAAATCACTTTTGCATGCGGAACATTAGTTGTAAATTATTTTACGCTAATTTAGGGTTAATTTTTTTTTACTCAATGCAAACTGACCCTCCGGTGGATTTTTTTGTATCTAGCAGAATTCATAGTTTGAAATATCTAAGGTCTACAACATTAGCTAGTAAAGATATAGGGATTAGAAATATAAGTTTGTGACAACAACTCAATTCTTTTAGACTTTCTTATCTAACAGAAGTCATAGTATGAAATATGAAAAGTCTACAACACCAGCTTGCAAAGATATATTATATTAGAAAATTAGAATTTGTGGCGAATTTTTAGTTCTTTTTGTGTTTTTTTTTATGTTACTTACAAAGTGAGTAAAAAAGCGGCATAAGCTTTAGTTTACAAACCACAATGAAAATGTTTTCTGAATTCATGTTTGGGGTTTAAATATATCAAATAAAGTAAGACAAAGGCTATATTTTTTTAACGCAAACAACGCGAAATAAAATTGTATAACATTTTTTTAACAAATCAATTAAAAAATCAGTTTTTTATTTTATTCTAAACAACACGCATTTTCCAAATGATGAAATATTTTTGCATTTTAGTAAGTATCTACATTTCTAAATTTTTCAACCTCAAACATGAACTGAAGTTATGATTTCAATTAGTCAAATAAACATGAAACCTAGCAATTGTGTTATGTTCACAGACCCATTCCACTTAGTAAGTTGATTTTTTGCTATTGGTAAATCATTTGCTTTACAACAGAAAATGCATATGTAAAATTTCTTAAATGTCGTCTTCCGTTTCCAGACTTTTAATGGGTTGCATTAAACAATGGCAAAAGAAACATTTATAAAAGATTTGAATTTTCACTAATAGCTTGTTACAAAAAAATGTTTACACTTCAGTTTTTGTCAAATATACTAATCCCTATATCTTTTCAACCTGATGGTTTAAACCTTGTATATTTCCATATTAATTGTCTACGAAATCGGGTTGTAAAGGTATAGTAAATGAAAATTAGAGTTTGTGGCATAAACTCATTTTCTTTAAACTTGAAATGAAAAACAATTAGTCTTTACTGTCATAATCATCAGTTGAATCTCTTACATTGATATATTAGAGACGTTTTGAAATGTTTTGATTGGCAGAAATATTGTTACACTTTTGAAATTAAAACTCAGCCCTCATAGCCTAACGTTTTATGAACAATATTTTCATCAGGCATATATCTAACGTTAGACTAATCAATTTAGTATTCAGAGAAAAGTTATGAAACGTTTTGATTTTCAAAATTACAGTTTTTAAATATTGTATGTTACATTATTGAAATTTATACTCTGTAAAAAAACTTTCGTTTCCTGATTCTTAAAATAATAACCCATTTCTGAAACGTTGAATTTTTCATTATATTATAAGGGAAAACGTTTCAAAACGTTTTCATAAACAGTAATGCATTTTTTAGTTCTACAACGTTACACTTTTTATAAGTTGAATTTTGAAATAGAAAACCTTTCGTTACGATATTCAATCAAATCACAATAAATTTTTCAAACGTTAGACTTTCAAGCTCCCCATGGAAACAAAACATTTCTTTACGTTATAGTCAAACAAGTTGTATATGTTAGATAAATAACTTTACATTACCACAAAACGCTAACGTTGGGGGTAGGTTCTTCTAACGTTAACGTTTAACGTTAACGTTAGGTATGATCTCCTATAACGTTAACGTTTAACGTTAATGTTATATAGTATATATCCAAACGTTACACATTATTGTAACATAACGTACAAAAACGTACATTTTACGTTGCGTTACACTATCGTTGACATCTCTACATACAGTGAGACTCTCAACTATAATACTGTGAAATGGAAGACGACTATTAGACTCAAGTTCAATCGTTATAGCGTGGTAGGTGGTAACCCCCCTAACTCTCAAATCCAACCATAAAGTCACGTGATCAGTTCCATCTATCTATCAAAGACCCCAATGAACACTATCCATACTAAGTAATAAACAACGAGACATTTAACAGAGAATCACACATTTTGTTCAAATTTAACTGTTATACAATTACAATCTGCCCATGTTATCTATATCGTGGGTAAGGTTCGGTTTGGTTTGGATCTGGGCCGAGTGCTGTGGCAATTAATCTGGGCCGAACGGTGCAGTTAGGATGGCTAGGGGGCCAAGCGCTGGGGCTTACTTAACACTTAGTTGTTAAAGTTTGCTAAAATATTTAGAACTCTCAGATCATTACTTCAGGATTAAGTTTTTGTTACTCAAATACAATCTGCCCATGTTATCTATATCGTGGGTTAGGATTGGTTTGGATCTGGGCCGAGTGCTGTGGCAATTAATCTGGGCCGAACGGTGCAGTTAGGATGGCTAGGGGGCCGAGCGCTGGGGCTTACTTAACACTTAGTTGTTAAAGTTTGCTAAAATATTTAGAACTCTCAGATCATTACTTCAGGATTAAGTTTTTGTTACTCAAATACAATCTGCCCATGTTATCTATATCGTGGGTTAGGATTGGTTTGGATCTGGGCCGAGTGCTGTGGCAATTAATCTGGGCCGAACGGTGCAGTTAGGATGGCTAGGGGGCCGAGCGCTGGGGCTTACTTAACACTTAGTTGTTAAAGTTTGCTAAAATAGTTAGAACTCTCAGATCATTACTTCAGGATTAGTCTTTGTTTCCCAAATACAATTTGCCCATGTTATCTATATCGGTGGGTGGCCTCTTCTTCCGGGGTGGTCGAGGTTTCGTGATAAAACAAAAAAATATTTAATCACCCGTGGTTTCGGGCCAAAATTTAACCTAGGGGCCTTTTCATTACTCTAATTTTTAATTACCAAGTTCTTTTTTTAATAGTCAAAGAAACATACGAAATTATGCAATGTTCACAGATGTCTAGTTAGAATAGGGTTGATTTATTATATTACCTGATAAGCGTACTCCAGGCTTCATTACAAAAACAAATAATAATTGCTGTCGGTTTAAGTTTATCAAGAGAATTTAAATACTCTTCATTTCTATAGCACCAAGGATCCCTGGACAAGTTTAAACAGTTAAAACAACATAAACTTATACTTAGAGGCACTTTTAAATTTCGTTAACGTACGTTAAATCCGAAGAGAAAAGAATATATATTAGAGGGGAATTTACTAGAAAAAAGTGTAAAACGGCCATTTTGTTGTACTGTTTCCATACTGCAGGTGTACTTCACATATTTATGCTATATAACCTTTTGGGCCCTGGAATATCATTTTATAGAAAATCTAAAATTAATATTAAAAGAAAACCAAATTATGAAATAGGCTGGTATCATAATTGACCAAGGATCATTTCACTTAGACTCTATGCCTTTTACTTTACAAACGATGATTTTCCTTTATATCTATAAATCAAATGATGTTTTTATTCACCTAATTCACTATAAAGTTTATTTAACAGCTTTAAAAAATTCGAAATTGAAATGGATAGTCTAGGGAACATACTGTATTAATGTACTCTACTGCATATAATTTGTGAACATTTACATGATTTGTACACTTTGAACTCCCTTTCAGGCTGAAAGGGACTGAAAAAATTCATACCGAGAGATTCTCTAAATTTCCCTCTAATATATATTCTATTCTCTTTGGTTAAATCATTCGATGGAATTGAGTTCTTGCAAAAAGTTCAAATGTTCTAAACCTAATAGTGTAAACTTATGATATTTCAAACTTAACTGTAACATAATCTATAGTTTGAAATATCTAAGGTCTCCGACATCCGATTGCAAAGCCATAGAATTAGAAAATCAGAGTTAGAAGCCAAAACTTATTATTTAAAAGTTCAAGTTTATTGGAATGAAAAAATGTCACTTTGAAATTATTTAGTATTTACCTTCGATCCGGTAGAGTTCTATTGAGAGATATGATTTCACTGATATATTCATCAAAAGCATGATCAATAAACATCAAATCTGAGTTTTAAAATATTTTCAAATAAAAATTTTATGATTGTTTTATATCATATTTTAAAAATTGATCTTGATTATATTTTTTGCTAAATATTAGGAAGAAAAAGAAAACTAATTTCATTCATAAGTTTACTAATTTTTTAAAACTAAGATCAACTCTAAGAAAAACATGTTTTAGGTTTTTTGGCTGAAATGTTTTTGCAGCGATAACAAAATATTAAAAATTCCTCTTTTCAATTTTTCATCAGAATTCATTTCCTTCAATAGGACACCTAAATGAAAATAAAATTCAATAAAAAAATTAAAATCATCGAAAAACTACAGTGGTAGACTATTTTATCAATACAATGAAGACGACTTTTGATTTAATTTTGATTTATATCAAGCTGTCAAGCGGCATGGATACACATAAACAAAGAAGTCAAGAGAAGCTGTCAATTAAAAAAATTAATTACTTATAAACTTGTTATTCGAAAAAACTTGTTAACAATCAAAACTTAAATAAAAAAGTTGTCTTTATTGTATTGATAATATCACCTACCACTGTATTTTTACCTGTTCCAAGATCCCCAGGTAGCAGTTGATCAGCCTCAAAGAGTTTCAAGGCTTTCTCCTGCTCTTCAAGATTTTCTGCAGAAAGAATAACATTATTCTATAAAATATAAAGAGGTGCGACAGGCTTAACAAATTATAATTTGTTTTAGAATATATTTTTCTTTAAAAATCATTCTTTTAATTAAAAATTAAAAATGGTTTTTCCAGCAAGTTTATTTTGAGATAAAAGAGCTTCATGATCATTGGGAGGTTTTTAAATTGAAAAAGTATTACTGGAATTTCGAAACTTTTTTTCTGAATTTTTAAACTTCTTAAAAAAATGCAGGTATCTGAATAGAAATAGGATCATCATTTTGATTATAATTTAGAACGTTAAGAACCAAATTTCAATTAAACAATAAAGGAGTTGAGTCTTTACCACAAACTCAAATTTTCTTATCTTCAAACTTAGATTATTTGATCTGACAGGATTCATAGTTTCTAAGGTCTACAAAATTGGGTTGCAAAGATAGGTATTAGAAAATCAGAGTTTGGGACAAAGACTCAGTTCCTTTGATCCAAATAGGACATAAATTGTTTCCTTGATCGAATATGTGAGCTTTGAAATTTTTTTAAAATAAAAATTTAAAATATAAATTCGTGAATGAAAATGATTATCAAATTAATTAGAATAATAAATGATAGATTCATTAATCACTAATTTTTGTGAAAAACTCGATTTTTTTATTTTTGAAAAATACCTTTGTGAACTCCTGACAACTCTTTGTCGTAGACCAAAGTAAGATGAAGGTTGTACAGAGGGGATTCTTTTTTACTAAAACAAATATTTTCAATTTTTGACAAAATTTGAAGTATACATTCCATCTTATAGCTATCTACAACAAAACTTCTGATTGTTATTAAAAATTAATGCTGTTAGCCAGGCATACAATTTTAATGAAGATATTCTCTGTCCATGGAGAAAAAAAATGTGATTGAACAATGTGTGGATTACAAAATAACAACAATCTTTCGATTTTTTTCCTCAGGGTGATTTTACATAAATAAACTACAAAAAAATATAAAATAAATATTATGGGCCATGTTGTGTTTATAAAAGGGTAAACCAAAATTTAATTAATAAAATGAATCTACCTTTTAGTATCAGGATAATTGGATGAAACTAACTCATCATAATCAGCCTAAAAACCATCAGAAATATTATGTTAGAAAAATGAAAGAAGTAAGTTTAGATATAATTAGTTTTTTTTAATAATAAGTTTAAAAGAACTCACATCAGTTAATGCATTGATAAGAGCATCTTTATCCTTCACTTTTCCATCAACAATCAGGGACTGAAATCCATACTTAACAACAAACATAAATACATAATCAATCCAATTCTCTTACAGCCAGCTTATACCTGTTCAGCTAAATCTATATACTTCATCTCCAGTTCCATATCTTCATCTTCTTCATCAATACCTCCTTCAGATACACCTTCTTCATCAATATCTTCGGTAGATAGACCTTCTTCATCAATACCTCTTTTAGATACACCTTCCTCATTAATACCTCCTTTAGATACATTCTCTTCATCGATACCTCCTTTAGATAGACCTTCTTCATCAATAAAACCTTAACATACATTCCCCTCATCAATACTTCCTTTAGATGCATTCTCTTCATCAATACCTCTTTTAGATACACCTTCTTCATCAATACCTCCTTTAGATACACCTTCTTCATCAATACCTCCTTTAGATACACCTTCTTCATCAATACCTCCTTTAGATACATTCTCTTCATCAATAAAACCTTAGCATACATTCTCTTCATCAATACTACCTTTAGATATATTCTCTTCATCAATAATACCTTTAGATACATTCTCTTCATCGATACCTCCTTTAGATAGACCTTCATCATCAATAAAACCTTAACATACATTCTCTTCATCAATACTACCTTTAGATATATTCTCTTCATCAATACTACCTTTAGATACATTATCTTCATAAATATACTACCTTCAAATACACTATCTTCATCAATAGTACCTTTAGATACATTATCTTCATCAATATTACCTTCAAATACATTGTCTTCATAAATACCTCCTATAGATACATTCTCTTCATCAATACTACCTTTAAATACATTGTCTTCATAAATACCTCCTATAGATACATTCTCTAAATAAATATTACTTTCAAATACATTCTCTTCATCAATACTACCTTTATCTAACGAAGGAGCTAGTTGATCTGGCTAAATTATACCTTCAGAAAGAGGAACATTAATTTCTTCAGATTTGTGTTCAGGGGTCCAAATATTCTCGGATGGAGTTTTATCTCTGTAAAACAAATTGTCAATTTGAAATAAAAATTTTAGAAAATAAGATTATTAAGTTATATGGCAAAAGAAGTTATTTTAAAACAATTATGTTACTGATTGTCTCGTTAATCTCATGTATAAAGTAGTTATTCTTTCTTTGTACAGTTCAAACGGATTAATCTAACTTCTCTTGCTTATCCTGTAGTGGTCGAATCCTGCAGTGATAACTAAAATTGATGGATTACTCACTAATCAGTCAAATTCAAAATTTGTCACTGTGAAAATCAAGCATTGTAGATTAGCGCTAAATCACAGATTCGACCTCTGATAAAATAATAGAATAGACAGGTATAAAAACAAGATTGATCATGTTTCCTGTCATTTTCTTGTTTACAATCCTCATCTACAGTACAGATCTCACAGTAAACAACTAAACAGAGTTTAGAATTAACATATATGTAATATGTATATGTGATCCGGGTCGAAATTGTTCAGAGGTATAAAATTTAACCAAAAAAACAATTTGAAATTTAAAGTAAACTTTAAAGCCATATTTTGTAGGTGTCCTAGTAAACATGGCAATTAAGTGGTGAAACTCTATCACAGTGTGCTTGAAGGACCATTTTTTGAGATTCTGAGAAAGCTCATCAAAACGAACATTTTGCGAAATGTCAGCACTTTTTCCTGAGGCAAATTTTTCTGCAATTCACCTATTTGCAAAGCATTGTTTTATTGACATTTTTCAGCTCTTTATATAGAAACTTACGTACAAAATTTTGGAAAAATACCTGTATGTGGATGTAAAATATTCTTTAAGATAATCTGTTTTAGCTGAGAATATAATTATAATTCTTTTCTCTTTACTTTTGACCTCTATTTCTGATTCACAGGAATATATGTACTGGAGATTTAAAGTTGTATTTCCTCCCAGAGAAGACCTACTAAAGTCCCAGAGCTTTTGTTTACCCTTTGCTCCAAACCTTTCCCTATCTTATATTCTAATCCTTTACATACCCCATACTCAAGACCTTTCCGCTTATCATTTACTATAGAATTTTTTCCTTATCCATTAATATAAACCTTTCTTTATCCTATAGAATGTTCCACAAATCGTTTACTATAGACATTTCCCCTTATCATTTGCTATAGACCTTTCCCCTTATAATTTACTATAAACCTTTCTTCTTATCTTTTACTCTAAACCTTTCGAGACCCTTTTCTCTAGACCTTTCTTCTTATTCTTTACTCTACTTGTCTTTTCCTTATCCTATACTCTAGTCCGGCCTTTCCATACCCTTTACTCTAGTCCTTTCCCCTTATCCTTTACTCTAGACCTTTCTTTTTATTCTTTACTCTACTTGTCTTTTCCTTATCCTTTACTCTAGTCCGGCCTTTCCATACCCTTTACTCTAGTCCTTTCCCCTTATCCTTTACTCTAGACCGGCCTTTCCATACCCTTTACTCTAGACCAGAGACCTTTTCCTTCATTCTTTACTCTAGTTCTTTCCATACCCTTTACTCTAGTCCTTTCCCCTTATCCTTTACTATAGACCGGCCTTTCCAACTCCTTAACTTTAGACCAGAGACCATTACCTTTAGTCGTTTCCTTTTCATACCCTTTACTCTAGACCTTTTTCTTTATTCTTTACTCTAGTCCTTTCCATTCTCTTAAAACTAAATCTTTATCTAACCTTTACTATAAATCCTAAAGGATGAGAATGGGTTTATAATAAGAAAAGGATAGGTCAAGAGTAAAAGATGTGGAACTGTTTAGAGTAATGGATAAGGGTAGGGGTACGAGTGAAGGATAATTAAAGGTTCAGGGGTAGAGACTAAAGAAAGCATTAGGAGTAAAAGATATGGAAGGGTTTAGAGGAAGGATAAGAAAAGGATTAAGAATAGTTTAGAGTGAAGAATGAGGAAGGGTTTAGAGAAAATGATAAGGCAAATTTAGATTTAAGAATAAGAAAATGATAAGGTAAATTTAGATTTAAGAATAAGAAAAGGTTTAAAGAAGAGGATTGTGAAGTTTTATTTCCACTTTCAAAACCCTTCTTTTTCTTTTTCTCCTAAACCTTCCTTTCCTTACCACAAGCATGCTCTATCCTTGACCTAAACCTTTCTTATCCTTTACTCTAAACCTATACTTGTACTTTACTTTAAACCTTTTGCTCTAAAACTTTTCTTATCTTTACACTAAACCCTTTTATTTCTTTCACTTCTAATTTTGTCCCTATCCTTTACTCAAAACATTTTCTTATCCTTTCCTTATCCTTACCTCTCTAAACCGTTCCTTATTCTTTACTTTAAACACTTACATATCTCTCACTCTTTATTTTTCCTTTTCCTTCGCCCCAAACCATTCTTTTTTTTACTTTACTTCCTGATGCCCTCGTTGCCATTTCCATTTACTTTAATATAATTCGTTTCTTATGTTTTACTTTACATTTTGCTTTATCCTTTCACTTAAAATCCTATTTCACCCTTTATACTTAAAAAATTAAAATATAAAAGTTTCGATATGATTTTTTATGAATTACTATGCGTTTTAAGATTTTAAACCGACCAAACTTAACTCCAAAAGAGCAAGAAAAAAAGTTCAAAAAAAGAAAGGGTTGAAGTCAATAAAAAGGAAAGTTTCAGAGTAAAGGATAAAGGAAAGGTTCGAGAGAAGGTTATGGAAAGTTTCAGGATAAAGGATAAGGGGAAAGGTCTAAATTAATGGTTATAGAAAGGTTCAGGGGAAAGGTCTAAATTAATGGATATAGAAAGGTTCAGGGGAAAGCTCTAAATGAATCGGTATGGAAAGGTTCAGGAGAAAGGTCTAAATTAATGGATATAGAAAGGTTCAGGGGAAAGCTTTAAATGAATGGATATAGAAAGGTTCAGGGGAAAGCTTTAAATGAATGGGAATAGAAAGGTTCAGGGGAAAGCTCTAAATGAATGGGTATAGAAAGGTTCAGGGGAAAGGTCTAAATTAATGGATATAGAAAGGTTCAGGGGAAAGCTCTAAATGAATGGGAATAGAAAGGTTACGGGGAAAGGTCTAGATGAATGGAAATAGAAAGGTTCAGGATAAAGAATAAGGGGAACGGTTAAATGTTGATTCAGGGTTAAGGATAAGGGGAAAGGTCTTGAGTACATAGTAAAAATTCTATAAATATTTTTTTAAAGCTAAAACAGAGTATCTAAAAGAACAATATAGAAAGGTTCAGAATAAAGGATAGGGGGAAAGGTCTAACGGATATAGAAAGGTTCAGGATAAAGAATAAGGGGAAAGGTTTAAGGCTTCAGGGTATAGAATGGTTCAGGGTTAAGTATAAGGGGAAAGGTCTTGAGTACAGAGTAATTATATCCTCAACTAAAACAGTGTATCTTAAAGAACATTTTACATCAAAATACGGGTATTTTTCAAAAAAAAAATTTAAGTAAGTTTCTATATAAAGAGCTGACAAATGTCAATAAACCATTACTTTGCTAATATGCGAATTGCAGAAAAATTCGCCTTAGGAAAAAGTGCTGACATATCTCAAAATGTTCATCTTGATGAGCTCTTTCAGAATCTCAAAAATGTTACATGGGATTTTTCTGATATCTTAGAGGTCATTCAAGCACATTGTGCTATACAACTGCAGATATTCAACCAGTTTGGTATTGCCATGAGAAAACTTTGTTAATATAACGGCGAATTTTGGTTATCAGCCCTTTTTTCCGTGGTTAAACTTTACACTTGTATTTGACTAAAGATAAACAGTTTTTTCAAATCTATAATATACATTACATACAATACATTATTCCAGAGTCAAGACTTATCTAGCCAATAAGGGCTAAGCATAGAAAATGAGGATAGGAAGAAGGAAAAGGAAAAAAAGAATGCCGTACTATATTGATTTTAGTGAGTAATTTGCATGTTACAGAAAAGGGTAGAAGATTGGAAGATATTCGCCAACACAGCTCTGCAACTTTATAAATGGAAAAAATTCATCTTTCTAATTCACAGAAAGAGCAAACAAAATCAATTCTTATCAACACGTATTTTCATGAAAGACAGTTGGATTTGAAGCAAGAAAATTATTTATATTGTTCCAAAAAAGATGTCTTCATTGTTCTTTTAAATCTATGAAGAGATTTAATTTCTGTAAGGTATTAATGTCCACTTTGTTCCCTTGCCTAAACAAGGTTTTTAGAATTAGGTTCAAGTTGACCAACCCTCTCCTTCAAGGTGGGACAGCAGAAACTTATGAATGCAGTTCAAGTTGATTATGGTTCAAGTTGAACATGGTTCAAGTTGAACATGGTTCAAGTTGTAAATGGTTCAAACTGAATATGGTTCAAGTTGAACATGTTCAAGTTGAATATGGTTCAAGTTGAACATGGTACAAGTTGAACATGGTTCAAATTAACCATGGTTCAAGTTGAACATAAATGGTTCAAACTGAATATGGTTCAAGTTGAACATGTTCAAGTTGAATATGGTTCAAGTTGAACATGGTACAAGTTGAACATGGTTCAAATTAACCATGGTTCAAGTTGAACATTGTTTAAGTTGAACATAACATGGTTCAAGTTGAACATGGTTTAAGTTGAACATGGTTCAAGTTGAACATGGTTCAAATTAACCATGGTTCAAGTTAAACATGGTTCAAGTTGAATATGGTTCAAATTAACCATGGTTCAAGTTGAACATTGTTTAAGTTGAACATGGTTCAACTTGAACATGGTTCAAGTTATTATATCAAGTCAAGTTATTATATCGTTAGAACTGACGAGGGTCAACCCAGACCGAAATATATTTTCAATAAATGTGGAACTAACATCTAGTTTTTTACTCTACAGAGGTTTGGTCCATCACCATCACCGAATTTAAGTATACTTGATGTTGTTACATAGCAGATATAGTGCTACTTGTAACTTATCAAATCACTTACTTAGTGATATTGGTCTGTTTACACCGCACAATTGCTTTGTCTATAAATGTTTATTGAACGAATTGGACTATTTATAGTCATAACTTGAGTTCAAATGTCGTCTTCCTTTTCCAGATATTTTTTTTGTTTTTCATTGAGGTTCAAAGTCATAATAGAAAATTCGATTTACCTAAAATTTCCATAAGGAAATATAGAGCTAAGAATCTCATTTTCTGTCTTTAAAACTCTAGATTTTGTTTTCTTCACTTTTCAAAATAATTGATTAGTTTCATAAAGTTCTATATATTGAACTGAGTTTTCTCGACCTGTGTATACCTTCACAGATGTAAAATACGGAGTTTAATGAGAAATATGTAAGTTATCATACAGTTGGAGAACAATTAGATTAGAAACTTATAGAACAGATGTGTACCAAAGATATATAAATTAAACATTAAAGGGAATATTCGAGAAAAATGAAAGAGGGTATAGGCTTACAGCGAAAAATAAGCGCTATTGATCGCTACTAATCTTACTTCTATCTGTTGTGTCTGTTGCAACATTCAACTTGGATCGTAAAATAATCAATTTAATTCCAAACAAATAATTCAGATATTACAACCAATAATCATTGAGTTGTCGATATTTCATGATATTTCTTTATTTTATATGATCTGAGAGTTACTTTTGAAAACTTTTATTCCTGTCTCTAGGATGTTTGATAATGAAGACGACATTTTAATATTTTCCAGGAATGTTCGAAAATTCAGCGGCACAAAATATTATTTAAAAAACAAAATCAAATATATTATGAAATATTAACTATATACGAATGCGTCGAAAAATAATCGAGGACTAGTGTTTGTAATAACTGAATGATTTGTTTGGAATTAAATTGATTATTAATGTTGCAACTTTCCGCCTTTGTATGGACACTAAGTTCTTCGGCATGAGTCGTTTTTAACAATTTTCTCCAGATAGACGCAACAGATAGAATGAAGTTAAGTAGCGATCAAAAGCGCTTATTTTTCGCCGTAAGCCTATACCCCCTTTCACTTGTCGCTAACACTCCCTTTTTAATGAAGATATTAAAGGGACTCGAAACGTAATTTCAGATGACCCTCCGTTTTAGAGCACGGCAAGTCAATGATAGATCAATCTGCACCCATCTGTGTTTTTAAAAAATTGGTTATTTTCGATTGAAATCAAATTTTTAATTTAAAAAACAACTACATTTCCCCCATTAATGATAAAATTATGGTTAAGATTTCAAAATCATATGATTGGCCGGAAGATCTACGTTGAAAATGCATTCATGTATTTAGTAAGGACAACTTCCCGTGATTTCACTATTCCAGGTTAGATCAAATTAATGAGAAAGAAAGTCACAGTAGGTACATTGGTCGGTGTTTTATATCAAACCAATGAAGATGACTTTTGGATTTAAGTTTTGATTTTTAACAAGCTTTTTCCTAAATTCCTTCTCTTTGTTTCGATGTTTATTTGAATCCATGCTGCTGGAAAGCTTGGTAAATGGTAATATTTAAGTTATAGATGTTTTTTTAGAGAGCTGGCCTTAAAAATTTGCTATCGGGACATGTTACACACTCCCCAATCCCGAGTTATCTTGTCAAAAAAAATATTGGTTTAATATCTATACATGTTTTTGTCAAATGTGTTTTAGGACTGATAAGTGATGATGGTGAATGTAAGCAAACATCAAAATATACATATTTCCTACTTTGTTGTATGAGTACTGTAGACATTAAAGAGCATCTATAACCCCATTCGGATTCTAGATAGTATGAAAATATTGATTTAAATATTACCATTCCCCCCATCATATCTCGTCTAGGTGTACTTTGCATGTTTTTGTGACAATAAAACAGTTGTTGTATTAAAAATTGTCTGGCACTTACAAATTAGAAAATTAACGGTGATAGGTTATAAGCTACGCACATTAGTCCGACATAAGTTGCAGCAAAAAGGCGAAAAATCATAAATATGTTGATAGATTATCTGCGAAAGGAAAAATCTGCAAAAAAAGTGCAGAATTTGACAGTGTTAACATTTGTCACGCCAAGCGGCAGAATCAGCCAATTATTAGCTATTTATCATAACAAATACAAGGGTTACTCAGAAAGAATGGGAATTTAATGACGACCTAAATCTATTTCAGTACAACGATTTGAAGGTTAAATTAAGGATTTAAAACACGTTTACACCTCAGAAAGAATGTTGGAAGAAAGATTTAATAAATTTTGTACAGCCGTCTCTGAAGTCTCAACCTTTGTTGATAACCCTCTATATAATCCTGGCTTAAGAAATTGAATCTCTTTCTTTTTGTCCAATATATCTTGGATGGGGCAGGGGCGGGGGGTCTTTCCCCCTTGTTGAGAAAGGGGGTTGTGATAAATATTGATAGTTCGACTACTTTACACACTCTTTTAAATGTAAGACCTCTAATTTTATATGTTTAGCATCCTGTGCAAACTATGTCGAAATGTGTTCTTTACCCTATCTCTGCTGGGGTACTTGAAAACCAGGATACGCTGGGGGGGGGGGGCAATTTGACCCCCCNCTTCAACATTCCATTATCAGAAAGTGAAGAATACGACATTTGATGAATTCTTTGGATGTATTCGTTATTAAGGGTTTCACTGTAGCTCAACATTTGAAGTTTTATTATGTCATATAAATAATTTCCCTTCTTTTACTTAAATAAATGTTTGAATTTTGCTTTTTTTTTTATTTGTATTTTTCGCGAAATTTTCGTTTTTTCTGCATAATTTCCATTTTTTCGCGAAATTTTCACGAGCGAACGAAATGCGAAAATGAAGCGAAATGGTCGTGAAAATTTTTTTTCGCGAAACGAATTTTCCTTTTCGCTGGAAACATAAGATCGACTGTAGAGATGTTATTGAGCTTTTTTCCTTGCATCCATGCTTGAAGCCAGCATTTGAAAAAAAGCCTTTTTTTCTTTAGGAGATAATTAAAATACCAACTCTGACATTCAGATCGTCAAATTAAAAAGCTTCTTATCGTCTTTTATATCTAATCCTTACTGGGCAAATAGATTATCAATCTATTTGTTATTTGGTAATAAAACTACGGTCGTCTATAAAACACTTTTTAGAAAAGCCCTTGAAAAAAGTGACCAATTTTCAAAAGTGAAATAAAGATATTTTCCAACGTACTTTTTGGATTTTGCATGGTACCTGACTTTCACAGATTTAGAGGCAAAGGTTTTGAAAAGGAATTCGGCCAAATACATATGCCTTGAAAAATTCTGCTATAGTCAATATACAATACATATGTATTTGGCCAATTCATACTTTCACACTGTATATCAAATCCTTCCTACGTTGAAAATGCATTCATGTATTTAGTAAGGACAACTTCCCGTGATTTCACTATTCCAGGTTAGATCAAATTAATGAGAAAGAAAGTCACAGTAGGTACATTGGTCGGTGTTTTATATCAAACCAATGAAGATGACTTTTGGATTTAAGTTTTGATTTTTAACAACCTTTTTCCTAAATTCCTTCTCTTTGTTTCGATGGTTCAAGTTGAACA